AAAAATCTCAAGAAAGAAACACTGAAAACATGGGAATTATTGTGAAAACATGGGAAGTGGATATTCTGTCAGATGGGCTGAAAGTCTGTTCAATTCAAAAGGAAACTGAGCGATGGGATGTATTGTATAAATGGCTGCAGTTACCAGATAGTGTTGGAGTAACATAGAATTAAACTAAAATTAAATGATAAGATGAAAGTAGGAGGGTAATCAAACTGTGAAAAAGCAAAAAGTTGATCTGTTATTGTAATATGAATTGATTGGATGATGGTATACTCTGTGTTCTCCTATCCCCCTAACCTTTTTCCCCCTCTTCCCTCTTCCCCTTTACTTTTTGTATTCCCTACCCTGTCCTTAAATAAATACTAAAAAAAAAAAACAAAACCCCTAGTGAGCACAGCCAGCAGTCAAGGATGATGCAAGTTCCAATCCATTTGGGGAGACTTCAATTAGCCCATAGTAAATTTTCCTTGTTAAGAGGTTAAATCCACTGCCATAAATCCAACTGCTTTTCCTAGAGCAGGAGCTCAACTCAATTGACAGGACTTACACATGTGTTGATTTGCCATTCAGGAATGGATTGCTCTAGTTGAGAACAGGGACTGAATTTTGGTTATTATTCTTACTTTCTTTGAGAGAGTAACAATCAATTGTGACTTCTTCTTCCAATACCAGAAGTCCTGTTTCTATGATTAGAGTTATGGATTCTGCATCCTCAAGCCTCTTTTATAGTGAGCTCAACTTACTTCAGATGGCATAGGTAAAGGTTCCCCTTGACAATTTGTCGTGTCTGACTCCAGGCAGTGGCGCTCATCTCCATTTCCAACCCATAGAGCTAGCGTTTGTCCACAGACACTCCTCCCTGGCCACATGGCCAGCATGACTAGACACAGAACACCGTTTACCTTCCCATCGAGGTAGTACCTACTTGCATTTTTGCATTTTGCATGCTTTTGAACCGCTAGGTTGGCAGGAGCTGGGATAAACGATGGGGGCTCACTCCATCGCGTGGATTCGATCTTATGACTGCAGGTGTTCTGACCTTGCAGCATAGAGGCTTCAGCAGTTTAATCCACAGTGCCACCATATCCCTACTTCAGATGGCATACTTTACCTAAATAGTTTATCACCCTAATAGCACAGCTCTGAATCCTTTCTAATATCTTCAGATTCAGTAACAATATATATGGAAATTCTGACACATGGTCAAATATCAATATTGTAATTTGCTTAAATGGAAGCTTTGTGCTGCTGATTCTTCAAACCCATGTAGGAAAAACAACAGAGGAACAAAATTTAGCTGCTACTAGAATGTCTGCTCTAAATTGTTAGTATTCCTTTTAAGTATATTTTTTAAAAAATCTGAATCCCCCCAACAAATTATGAAACCTTAAGAGAAACTGGAAACCAGAAGACCAATGAACAAAAAAAGCTTTGAAGATAATATTGTAAAGTTCAATATATTAGGCGTCTCGTATTTTGATTTTTAAATTTTTTAAAAAGCAAAGTTCTTATAGAAATGTGCATTAAGTACTGGGATTTTAAGGCCTACAGCTAAAGTGTATATTCAGACTGGAAAGTATCAGCCTAATCTAAGAATTTAAATAAGAAACAACAACAACAAAACCTATGTTGAAACACTTTTAAGTTATACTGAAAGTTAGCCACCATTTTAACAATATTATAAATTAAAAATTTATTCTCAAATGTGTTTTTCAAAAACTGTGGTTTCATCTCAGCTATAATGAATTATTAAAAAGTCCTCAGGAACCCTGATACCAGTGTGGCTTTTATACCTGTATTTCAGTGTTATCTTTATTTCAATTACTAATCTCATATTTTCAGTCTTTAGGGTGACTGTCAACCCTTGGGAATAAGGTTCACTGGTCATAAAAAAATAGGGTGTTTGCAAAGAAGGCAACTGAGGGAAAGAAAAGAGCATCTGAGAGAAAGTGGAAAGGTACTGCAAAAACAAAAAGGAGTTCGTTTCTTCCGATACAGATTCAGGTCTTGAGATCATCTTCAAAGATGTCAAGGTATCTTCACCATACAGATGTTGAATGTAGGTGCATCCCTCTGCAAATGAAAGAAAAACTTCAATGGATAATGACATAATGGAGAGCCTATCATGAATTTTGAGGAAGTCCTCAATTCAGGTTCTCATATGGATTTCAGGATAAGAACTACATAACTGAGACCATTAGCAGTTGCTTTTTTTTTGGGGGGGGGGAGCAACTTGGTACAATTAAATCACTTAGAAATATGTACATTTTGCAACCAGCACCACCTTCTGAGTTCTCCCCTCCAAAAAGCACTGGAGCCCCTGTAAAACAGTGCTTCCAAGTCCCATCCCAGAGAGACGGTCTAAAAGCATACAATGGTCAATGGTATTGAAACCTCTGAGAGGCCCAGCAGAACCAACAGACATATTCCTTTTCCTCGCATAGACCACCCACCAAGACAATCAAAGCTATCTCTAACCCATAACCAGGCCTGAAGCCAGACTGAAATGGATCTAGAAGCCAGACTGAAATGGATCTAGATAATCCACTTCATCCAGGAATCCTTGGAGCTGAGAAACCACCACACACTCCAGTATTCTGCCCAGAAATGCAATGTTGGAGACTGGCCAATAGTTGTCCTACTGGACAACTGAGGTTCAAGGGGGCTTTTTCAATAATGGTCTCTATTGCGTCCTGTACGCATACCAGCACCCTGTGTTGCAGCAAGGAGGCATTAGCAGTTCCCTTATCCAGGCCACCTCTGTCTGCTTTTATATGCCAGGAAGGGCATAGATCCACCATATATGTGGTAGTTTTCACCTCTCCAAGAATCTTGTCCACATCCTCTGCACCAATTGAAACATATCTCTTGTAACAAGAACAAGCACAGGCCAAAGTTATAGGATCTGTATCAGGAAAAAAACCTTTTAAACTGTTAGAACAGTACAACAATGGAACCAATTAACTTGGGAGGTGATGAACTCTCCAACACTGGAGGCATTCAGAACAAAACTGGACAAGCATCTGTCAGGTCCTCTTTGATTTGGGTTCCTGCATTAAGCAGAGAGTTGGTCTTGGTGTCTTTATAGGCATGATCCAACTCAATTATTCTGTGAATTTATGATTCTATGATCAACTATAGCATCCAACTCAGAGTGCCTCTGAGTGACTTTGTCTGTAATGTGTTGTGCAAATTCCTTAGAGCTGGTATTATACTTTTAGTGGGACATGCATTAAGCCCTAGACTACTCAAAGCAACTCTGGTGGATGACTCTATGCAGACACAATGATGGCACAGAGGAATCCTTTCTTTGTTGCCTTCAAATGAGCTCTAGCCCATGTTCAGTTGGATTCACTCCAAATTTTCCACCATTATCATTCTAGTCTCTATCCCACTCATTCCTGGTAATTCCTGGAAAACCAGTGGGCTGAATTGGCTCCACTCCAAGGGAGGAGATGCTTAGGATCAATTGTGCCCACAGCCCTGGCCATTTCCCCATTCCAAAGGTCGATCAGGACTTTGACAAGACTGCAGGCCAAGGCAAATGAAATTTCCCAAGAGCCACCAGGAAACCATTTGGATCCATCAGTATCTTGGTGCATCATCCTAATTGGTCCCTCACCTGTGAAGAGGCTGTGAATAATTCCAATAATATTAATACATTCAAAGAACACTACATAGCATAGGACGTAAATGTTACAATCTTTGCTACTGGAAACTACTACGGTGCTTGCTTGTAGGATACAGAAAATGGGACTTCATGTATCATATCAACTGTCAACTAAGGGTAACCCATTTCCTGGTGTAAAGTACAAAGATGGTCCTTCGAGATGTACTCACCAGCTGAAATCCAGCAGTAAGTCACAACGAAAATAGGCCCATTTAATCAGAAAGGATTTGATTATTAAGTTCAACTGACTCAATGGGCCTACTCTAGTTGTGACTTCCTTACCCCTGTGGATTTCAGCAATGGGGCGGGAGAGAGGAATTGTGTTGAATCCTGATTCTCATGTCTTTCAACTTGTCTATCTATCTGTTCACACTTATGTTTAAAGATATGGACAGAATATTATCTCTCGCAATAACCAATCTATGAAATCTCTTTTATTTCTCTCTCCCCCTCTCATCACATTCTTATCTTGCTTATTCCCTTTCAACTTGATTATGCACAATCCTGGGACCAACAATGACTCAAGGCAAACAGAAATAAGTAGAAAATGCAGTTGGAAGACATGAGGGACTAGCATGATTTTCTCCCACATTTCAGACTGAATAATGTATTACATTATGGCCCTTCTCTCCTTCCTAACTTTCTTAACAAGACAAGACAGCTCTGTCTTTGGTAGAGATGAAAACTTTAACCCATGCATTGCTTTATGAAAGATTTACAAGAGTTTTATGTTCTGAAAGATGATCTAGACATGATTGACACGAAGAGCTAGTCAAAATTTATGGCCATCCACAAGGGCAGGACTGTCAGTTCTAGATACTGAGTTGTACCATCTATTTGTAGAGTAGGTTAAAAAAAATCTCACAATGTCATCCATCACTGTCTTCTACTGACTGTTAAAAAAAACTTTAAGGGAGGACTTTTCCTTCTTGGACTATGTACAGGAAGCATCTCACCTCTATGAATATAAATTAAATCCAGGTGTATCATGCTTAGTTTCTGTCAACAGTTTTAGAACAGCAATGATTTTTCTAAAGACAAATAAACGGTGACCTTCACTATTTCCTCTGGGTTCAAACTTAATTTTAGGACTTCGTTCAAGATAGTATCATTTGATCAGAAAGAAATCAGATCTTCTTTCTTTGCTATGTTCTTGTTCAACTCAGTGGTCAAAGAGCTGTATTTTGAACATACTGAGCATTCAGTGAGTGCAGTTCGCCGTGACAAAAACCTACACAGAGTCAATCCATAGTGACCTGACACGTAACTAGAGATGGGCATGAACCTTGGTTCAGAGGTTTGTGCCAGTTTGTTGGATCAGCACCATAGGTGCAGCATGCCCCGACTGGATCCCCCACTCACCAGCTGGTGCACACTGCTATTCTCCCCCTCTTAAGGCATTTAACCAGTCGAAGCAGAAGTGTGTGTTTCCCTCCTCAACCTCTCCCAGCAGCTGCCCACTCAAAGGTAGCACTTCTGAAATCCCTGCTCTGCCTCTTGTCTGAGTGGGCGACTCCTGGAGGAGGTGGAGGAAGGAAGCATGTGCTCCTGCTGAGACTGGTCAACTGCCCAAAGAGGAGGAGAAGAGCAACACACACCAGCTGGTGAGTGGGGGATCCAGTCAGGGGGTGGGGGAAGGCAACATGTGGCACCTATGGCGCTGGTCCAACAAACCGACACAAACCTCCAAATCAAGGTTTGTGCCCATCTCTAATTATGTGTCAAGTCACTATAGATTGACTCTGTACAGGTTTTTGTCATGGTGTGCCACACTCACTGAATGTTCAGAATATAGCTCTTTGACTGAGGTTCATGCCCATCTTTACACATAAACTTCCTTAATGTTCTTCTGCAAAGGACAGTGAATAAGTACAGTGGTGCCTCGCTTAACGGCGATAATCCGTTCCAGGAAAATCGCTGTTAAGCGAAAACATTGTAAAGTGAAAATAAAAAGCCCATTGAAATGCATTGAAAACTGTTCAATGTGTTCCAATGGGCTAAAAACTCACCGTCCAGTGAAGATCCTCCATACGGCGGCCATTTTCAGTGCCTGTATAGCGAGGAATCCGTCCCTAAAAACAGCGGGGAACCATTTTAATTACCTGGCGGCCATTTTGAAGCCTTTGATCAGCTGTTAAAAAAATCGTTTTGTGAAGAATTGGTTCCTGAAGCAGGGAACCAATCATCGCAAAGCGAAAAAACCCTATTTAGACCATCGTTTTGCGATCGCAAAAACGTCGTCATGAAGCGGATTCGTCGTAAAGACTGTATATGCTGGACATTCTTTATAATGCCAACATCATGTCTATCTTTTAAAAGAAACCTGTTTCTTTTCATTACTTGGATGCAAACGTGTTGCTCTTTTTCTTAACAACCACTTTCCATCTGGTTCAGTCTAACACCTGCTTCAAAAAAAAAAATAGCCTGCTACTACTTTGCACTTTTTTGTTTTCTGTTCCACAAAATAACTCAAGTAAGATTCAGGAGAACATGCTTAAGTACATATCTGAAAAGGATTCCATCTGAGAGGAAAGGTAGGAAGACTATTCTGATTGCTTCCTGATCAGAAAAAATACTATCCCCTTGAAATGCTGTTGCAGAAAAGTGTTGGTTTCCATTTTATTTAGCTATGATTGGGATTAACTATTACCATCCTTTTATTAAGATGTGATGATTAATTTCATGTTGAAAGTGAAGATGACGCACCACTTTATTAATATACTAATGGCATGACATAATTTACATACTAATTTGGTGTATTAATGATTTGAATATTGCAATGATCTGTTGATTGAGCAATAAAGACTTCGTCTAAAGCATTAAAATAAGCAAACTTTGATTAAAATTCTTTGTGGCATGGACGGTCATTTTTACATCCTTCTCTTACTTCCAATGTACACTACTTTGTGAACATACTTAAGCACATCCTGTTGAACTCCAAGAACTTGGTATCATCAGTCTTTCGCTAAAAGCTCCACATTGTTGTTGAAAACACAGAGTATCAGAATCTTAGTCCATAGTCTTTCAATATTTATTTTGCACTGTTATTCTTGTCTCCAAGCAGAAAGAGGCATAGTAGAAAAGTCAAAGCACATTGGGGGTGATGGGAGACAGAGGAATGAAAAAGCTAATAAAATAGGTCCCATAAATTAAAACCAAGCAAGGGTATCCTAGAAACAAGATAGAGCTCACAGAGATGAGAGGAGTCATGCCATGCATGAAAAGCAAATTCTCAGCACTTCTCTCCACCCCCTGTGTCATGCCAAGTGTTTCTATGTGAAAGTACTTGGGAGCAAACTGGAAATGGTGCAACCCTGGAAAAATAATTAAGAAATGAACTCTACTATTTGGTGGCATCTGTCCCGAAAGGGAACAAAGTATCCTTTGTGAAACCTTCTTCCCAGAAAGCCTCCTAGAGTTTGAACTGTATCCATGGCCTCTCTTGGAATTAAACCCAAAGCAAGACTGTATTGTTCTCCTTCCCTTTGACTACTGCGGGGGGGGGGGATCTCAAGGGGTTTTAAAATACTACTGATCAGTCAGGCCTAGCTGCAATTTAACCAAGATTCAAATTTATTGCAACTAATGAAAAGCCAATGTTAGAGAGAGTTTTTGCAAATATGAAGGGTGAAAGGATGAAGAAATACTTTTAATAACATGATGATATGATTTTGCTGTTGTATAATGGGCTGAAAAAGACCCCACCCCATTCATTTGCCTAGAAAAATAATCCCGATGCAAGTACTGGAGGCTCTTACAGCTCTGGAATGTTGAACAAAATCAGAAGAGGCTAAATTAGTAAAGCTGCCATTTAAAATGCCCTGAATCTCAAAATTCTACAGCAGAAAGTCTTCTCCCCCCCCCAATCAATTTTTTACTCATTCTGGAGGCCTGATATGTGATCCCTTTACCTTAGCACATTAGATCTTACCAGTCAAATTCTCAATTGCCACAGTCACAACCACAGTGGTTGAAATCCTATAGTGTAGTAAATCACAACTAGAGTAACTCTATTTGAAAATCAGGAAGAACGTCCTGTTAGAGCTGTACGACAATGGAACCAATTACCTAGGGAGGTGGTGAGCGCTCCAGTGCTGAAGGCCTTAAAGAGAAAATTGGAGAGCCATCTGTCAGATCTATTTTGATTTGGATTCCTGCACTGAGCAAGGGGTTGGACTCCGTGGCCTTATAAGCGTTTCCAACTTAATTATTCTATCATTCTATGATTCTGCAAAATCAGTGAAACTTAAAGAGAAATTGACTCAATAAATCATCCTGATTCAATAGGCCTACTCCAGTTTCAGCCATTATTTGCACACTGGAGTTGAGGAGAAATTGATTAAAAAATTAGGTTGCTCATAGATCTGAACTGTGTAAGTTACTACATAAGCTAAATACCACCAGCATATTTTGAACACAAATGGGCAAAATCTGGTCCTGTCCTATGCAATTCACAATGAGATTTCAAATGTTCCTTGTGGACAAATTACTGCTGAATTGGTTCCATCCGGTTAGGGATTTGGAGGCATAAAAGCATTTTTGTAGTCCATAGAGTATACATTTAAGTCTTAAAAATAATCTCTTAAGGGTGGGCATACTCTATGGAAACTAGATTCCTTTAATAATCCTAAAAAGCAGAAATAAAACAAGTCAAATCCAGACTAGCAGATGTGCAGCCATATCATTTCAATGTTCAGCCAACTTAGCCTGGATTCAACCTATAGTGATCCTGGCTTGAAGTCTGGATGTCCTCCAGTTATGGAATTACCTACAACAGTGCACAGCACAGAGACCTGTTGTCAACTTTTGTGGTTTTTCTCTTTATGATGGTCTCCAATGAATTAGTCATTGGACTCATTTCCAAGAATCAGACAACACCTAGTTAAATAAGAAATTGGATCCTATTATTATTGTGGCATGTCTAGTTTCCTTCATGATCACAAAATAAATCGGCATATGTTCTAATTTTATTTTATTCTAATAACCATGTGACCATGTATTGCTCAAGGTCACCCATAGTTGGCTAAGTAATACCTGAACTCTGACCCCATCCATTGAAAAATAACTACATATTAATTCCACACCATGTATTGTATCAATATATTATAAAGCATATTTGTGGCCGCTGAGTAAAAATACCTGCACAGCCGGCTTAGTAGCTAAACTTCTTTTGCTTAACAGGGTCCATTGGTAGGTGATGGATCATCATCATTATATGGCCGGTCCCTTTGGGGAGGGCTCAGTGGAGGGATACCATCAGCTCTGGAAGAAAAAAAAAAGTAGAATAACATCATACATCAGTTTCTGGATGATAATATGTGATATTAAAGCCTGCTATTAACACGAACTGGTACCAATGCAGTATAAAGCTTAACAGAATAAGGTTGATCTAGGGCATATTCAAAATCAAACAAAGGACTTACATTCTTAGTTAAGCAGCAATGAATTCTTAGGTAGAAATACATATGAACGCACCATTCTTCAACTGAACAAATATAGGAAATCAGTAGCTGTGAGTTAGTTTGGAAATGTGCACTCATTCTTCAATTCACCATGCAAATCTTCAATAGGAGAGGAATAAGCCTGCCTAATGTTAAGGCCAAAGCCCCCTCTCTGGCTTAACTATAAGAAATTCTCCAAGTTAGACTGAGAACTGGTGGCTGCTTCGTAGAGATTAACCTACTCACATCTCCCAGAGGCTTTGCTTGGTTGTATGTTATGCAAACTTGTATACACTATTTTCAAATAGCTCAGTCCCACTAGCTTCAGAAGGATTTGGTTCAGTATTCTATTTACGGATTCTTTAAAATACACATTTTAAATAGAGACTTAATGCATTGCTCGTTACTTACATCTTACTGAACTACTTTTTCCTAAATAAGCTTATGCACATTCTTTATCAAAGAATAATCCATATCTGGAAGAAAACCATCATGGCTTGGAATACAGGAAGTTGTCTTACAGAAGGTTAAGCTTCCTATTCATCTAGCCTAGTCTTTGTCTAGTCTGACTGGAAATGGATGAATAGCAAAGGCTTTCCTATGCTTGCTTCCTGATCCTTTTACCAGTAATGGATGGTTCCTTCCCACTAAATGAAAAACTGAACGTCAGCCTTGGGCTTGAGTGCTTTCTTTGCCCGTTCTTCTCTCTTGCTTGACAGTGAAAGACATCACAAGTCTCCACTTTTAAGCTAACCACAGTTTCCCATAATATACAAGTTCAAGCAACAATGGTTGAAAAGCAAAACATATTAGTCTTTAGATTGCCACAAGATTTATTTTTACGTGAACTACAGTTTCAGAACAAATTAGAACCAAGTCGTAGCAAGTTCTCACTAATTACTACCCACTGCTCTTCAGGTATGGACATCAAAATATGCTCATATACCTCTTTTTTCCAAATTTCCTTTTCTACCAGCCGCTATGCCTGCAGTATGGGGCAAAGTTTCCATTTCATTTGCTATATTTATATATTTATTTGTTTTTGGACTCATACCATCTCTGCACACAGTCCTTTCAAAATGACTCCCCCCCCCAGCCTTCTCTCAGACATTTTGAATATAACAAAGAGGTAACAAGATAGGCAGACAAAGTGTAGCAGACAAAAGGGTGGGGATCTTGAGCCAGAAAAGGAATATTCTCTGTCATATGACAATATGCAACACAGATAGCTTATTCGTCATTTGAGCCTAAGCTTTAGTAAAAGCAGACCAGATGGCCATAGAACTAGCAGTCTTTGTGATATTCTTGCTTGTAGGCCACAAGTTCACTGGGAGGCCAGGAGTTCACAGAGAGATGAGCTCTTTTTAAACAAAGAATCTCTGGGAAAAGGAACTTTCCTGAAAATATGTCTTTTTAGGAATCAGAGAGCATACTATGCAGAATACTACCCATTTTTTTAAAGGAAGACTAAAAGAATATGACTAAAGATAGCAGATGTGAGAATGTGAAAGAAAAATAAATGTTTTCCAAAGGACCATTGGCCCAGAGCTAAGAGGTATCATCAGACTGTTACCTGTGGTTTTAACACACTCTCTCCATTCAAGGAAACAATGGCAGAGGATTTGGGGTAATGAGCTCAGACTGTACAAGGTATCAACAAAGGACAATAAACAAAACCTATAGCTTAAAAATAATCAAAGGACACAGGAATTTGAGCTGTTTTAGAACTGAAGAGTCAGTCTGCTGGATGAGTCCAAAGTTCCTTTTAGCCCAGTAACCAGAGGCCAAACAGATGTCTATGGGAAGGCCATAATAAGCAAGACATGAGGGTAAGAGCTCATGTCCCGATATTAGTCCTCTATGATTGTATTTTGAGATAAGTTGCATCTGATTCTGGAGGCAGTGTATATGCATCATGATTAGGAGCCATTGACAGCTTCCGTGAATTTGTCTATTTCCCATTTTAAACCATTTAATATTGGTAAATAACATCATACTTTATATCAGATAAGATTACTAATCTAGCCTACCCAATATAGACTACTTTGTCAGTGGCTCTCCAGGTTCAGTTCACACAAGACATGTCAAAGTTCGGACTTGAAAGCATGTGCTCTACTATGCAGTTGGTGTGCCCACATCCTAGAGAACCCACAGATAATCTGAAGAAGTGCCATGAATTCTCAGCAAAGAGAGAAGCATAGACTGGATAAGAACCTCACAAGGGGACTATGAATTGTATCTGAATATTCTACAATGCCTGTTAACCAATAAGAAGTACTGACAGAGATGATGAAATAATGAGACAACCAAGCAGCACATACGCATGCATGTTTAATACAGACATGGTAAAAGCAAGATAGAGATCTGTGGTGGAAAGCATGTCCAATGAAGCAGTAGAAAAAGACAGCCAAAGTATAAAAACATTTGCGGTCCCAGCATGTTGTGGAACCCCCAGGCAGGTCATGTTCTACAGAATCAAGCACATACCACTTTGTGTAAAACAAGAAAGACATGTTATCTGAAGTGTGGGTAAATGGACCCACAAAGGCTGTTCTGGAGGCCATTACCCCTTAGATGTGTCTCTTTCTCAGCTCACTATTAGCAGGTAATTCATGTACCACAGAAGTGCATGCAGCATGTCTTAAACCAATAGTACAGATACATAAACAGTGCTAACAGTGGATGAGGTAAGTACGAAAATCATTGGATTTGGAATGTGCTTTGAGCTATTTACTGACCACCAGAAACAAACTATATTTCAGAGAAACAATGGCCTCCCCCTCGCCTTCTCACTATAGTAAGATATTATTTAATTTTTATTTTCAGGTCAATTAGCTTACATAGCATTTGTTATTCATCTTGTCAGTGCAGTTGCTACTGTATGTACATCTTCCTATAGATGTTCAACAAAATCAACAGGGAAAAGAAATGTAGGAGAAAGGTGAAAGTGACACTTCCAATCTGTCGTGATCATTTCTATAGTGTAGGAAAATAAATGCTAGCTAATGCAGTGAAGATCTCTGAGAAATCATCAGGGTTTGTGACACATAGCAAGTTTCCCCAGGGTATTCATCTTCTTTGCCATCTTTTTTATGGTCTATTCATCATCTGTAGCAACTCCCTTCCCCCTAAAAAGTCTTGAGAATAACTTGAGAATATGAGATATTGCCTCAATGTATGAGATTAGGCTAGGAAAAACTGGTCTAAAAACAACTGCAAATGGGCTGTTCAAAAAGAGCTGGTAATCAAATGACACTGGACACACTGGGAGGAATGTGAAAGAGGCAATGATCGTTGTAGGTTTTTCGGGTTGTTTGGCCATGTTCTGAAGGTTTTTCTTCCTAATGTTTCACCGGTGTCTGTGGCTGGCATCTTCAGAGGACAAGAGTCAGAACTCTGTCTGTGTTCTGGTGTCATGTGTGGGAAAGTTAAGTAAGTATTTATAGCTATGGAACCAGCTTTTTGTCCTTTTCAGGAGATTGGGTGATTATGGTGATCAGGGTGTTTTTGTTTTGTTTTGTTATGAGTGTATTGTTGTAATAAGGGGAGGAGATGATCTGTCACTGTGATTGATGGATGTTGTTAGCTAGTCTTTTGTGTGCAGTGATTGCCAGTCCTTGTGACTGGGTAGAGTTTGTTGACCTTTTGCAAACTGTATTTTTCAGTGCTGAGAGGCAGGCTTTTGTTTTTTTCAAAAGTTTCCCCATGCCGTCCATGACCCATTGAAATCCACAAACACCAGCAGAGCTTCAACAAAAAAGAAGGACATCAAAAACTCAGCAAAGTGACAGATCATTTCCCCCTTATCACAACAATACACCCATAACAAAAACCACCCTGATCACCATAATCACCCAATCTCCTACAAAGGACAAAAAGCTGATCGCATAGCCATAAATACTCAACTATCCCACACACTACATCAGAACACAGACAAGAGTTCTAACTCCTGTCTTCTGAAGATGCCACAGAGACAAAACGTTGGGAAGAAAACAGAACACAGCCAAACAGCCCGAAAAACCTACAACAACCATTGGATCCTGGCCTTGAAAGCCTTCGAGAATACAGAAAGAGGCAAGTCCATAATTTACGAACTTTTTTTCTATTAGACCAGGGGTAGGCAACATGTGGTCCACATGCTACATGTGACAATAAACTGATATTTTTGCAGCCCACAGGACCATCTCAATGTCCCCAAGTTTAAAAATGCAAAACTATCCCCCCACTCCAAAATGGACTAGTTCCTTTATAGCCTTTTAACCTCTGTCTTGTCTGGATTACATTTCAGCTTATTCACTCTCATCCACTCCATTATGGACATCAGACACTGATCTGGAGCCGAAATAGCTTCCTTGGGTTTAGGTGGAAAGGAGAGATAGAGCTGGGTGTCATCTGCATACTGGTGACACAAAAACCCAAAACTCTGGACAACGTGTCCCAGCAGTTTCATGTAAATGTTAAATAATATGGGACACAAAAACATTGGAAACAAAATAGAACCCTGGGGCACCCAGCACGGCAGTGCCCAGGGTGTTGAACAGGAAGCCCCCAGCACGACCTTCTGAGTCCACCAAGTCTCATCCCAGAGAGAGGGTTCAGAAGGATAGCATGGCTGATAGTATCAAAAGCCAGTCAGATGTCCAGCAGAACCAACAGGGACAGACATACACCCTATCCAGTTCCTAACACAAGTCATCCACCAAGGCAACCACAGCAGTCTGTCCCATAGCCAGACCTGAAGCCAGATTGAAATGGAGCTAGATAACCCATCTCATCCAGAACCCCCTGGGGCTGAGAACCCACAACCTGCTCCTGCACTTT